TAAAAATACAAAAATTAGCTGGGCATGATAGCATATGCCCGTAATCCCAGCTACTTGAGAGGCTGAGGCAGGAGAACTGCTTGAACCCAGGAGGCAGAGGTTGCAGTGGGCTAGGATTGTGCCACTGCACTCCAGCCTGGACGACAGAGCAAGACTCCATCTCAAAAAGAAAAGAAAAAGTCACATACTTTATGATTCAACTTATAACATTTTTTTCCCTTTTTTTAGTAAAACTGAGACCATGCAATTTTTTTTTTTTTTTTTTTTTTGAGATCAAGTCTTACTCCGTTGCCCAGGCTGGAGTACAGTGGCACGATCTCGGCTCACTGCAACCTCTGTCTCCTGGGTTCAAGCGACTCTCCTGCCTCCGCCTCCCAAGTAGCTGGGACTATAGGCGCGTGCCACCACGCCCAGCTAATTTTTTGTATTTTAGTAGAGACAGGGTTTCACCATGTTAGCCAGGAAAGTCTGGATCTCTGATCTTGTGATCCACCCACCTCAGCCTCCCAAAGTGCTGGGATTACAGGCGTGAGCCACCGTGCCTGGCAATTTATAACATTCTTTCAGTAGCATTAGAGATGGAGAACAGAGTTATGGCTGCCAGGAGAGATGGGGAAGGGCAGAGAGGTGAATATTGTTACAAAGAGACAGCATGACAGAGAACTGTACTGATGCAATGCTTCTGTGTCTTCCCCATTCCTGTAGTGGTTACATGAATCTACATGATGAAACTGCACGGAATAAACACACACGTGCAACACGGTGAAACCTAAATTAGCTCTATGGATTTTATCAATATACAATCCAAATTGTACACTGAAAATGAATGCAAAGGTTTTGATGCTACCACAGGGAGAAAGTGGGTGATGGGTATATAGGATCTCTCTGAAGATTTTTTGCAACATCATGTGAATCTATAATTATTCCAAAATTAAAATTTTAAAATCAATCAGAGATACATACAGATACATTTGCAGATTAAATGACACAGGTCTGGGTTTGCATTTTAAAATACTCCATAGGAGCCAAGCATGGTGGCTCGCGCCTGCAATCCCAGCATTTTGGAAGGCCAAGGCAGGTGGATCACTCGAGGTCAGGAGTTGGAGACCAGTCTGGCCAACATGGTGAAACCTTGTCTCTACTAAAAATACAAAAACGTAGCCGGTTGTGGTGGCAGGCACCTGTAATCCCAGCTACTTGGGAAGCTGAGGCAGAAGAATCACTTGAACCCAGGAGATGGAGGTCGCAGTGAGCTGAGACTGCACCATTGCACACCAGCCTGGGCAACAAGAGCAAAACTCCATCTCAAAACAAACAAACAAACAAACAAACAAACAAACAAACTCCATGAGGAAAGAAAATAAAGGACAGAAAGTGGGAGAAACATGAAACAGAATTAACAATTTTTTGGTAAGTGTAGAAGCTTGGTGAGGAATATATAGGGGTTCATACAGTTTGCTCTCTAATTTTGTGTTTGAAAATTCCAAAATAGAAGTTTTTCTAAGTTCCCAAGTGTGCTTAGGCCAACACAAGGGCTAAGCATGACTTATTTGTCCACCTTGCTGTTAACTTTTGAACATAAATTAAGGTCAAAGCTCACGGTTCTATTTATTTACAAAGTTTTTATTATGAATATTTATTGAGATTTTCATAAACCACATCTTCAGTCTGCTTGTGTACTACTTTTTGCCTCTAAGAAGTCCCACAAAGTTATAAAAAATAAAAATTTATAAATACACATTGAGAATTATGCATTTTTACACAACAGGCAGGTCAGTGTTTCAAGTTGTCCGACCCTTTTCCTGTCTCCCCTCAGAACAAAATTTTAAGAGTATAGCCTCTGAAATCTCAACAGCAGAAACAGCAACCCTTTTCCAAACTCTGCCTATAACTCAGCACAACTTCACTCAACAGGCGCTTACTTTGGATAATAACAACAAATGGAAACTGCAGAAACACTGACTGGGACGACACCTCCCACGAGCAGTGAGAACAGCAAGCTGGGATTGGCCATGGCTTGGATGCGGGGCTGTGTGTATCAACTCATCGGGCCAAGAACCTCGAAGAACTCAATCACAAACCCCGAGAAGCGCACATAGGCCAGTCTAACTGCTTTGATCTAGAAGAGTTTCACGTTACTACCAACCTGAAAAACTCCTGTTTAATCCAGTTGGGGAATTCAATTTTTTTTTTTTTTTTTTTTTACTAACGTTCCCCCCTTTAGTTCCTGACAAACAGCTCTTTCCTTCTAGACAAAATGACAGTACCGTGAGGCCAGAGAGACACGGAGCCCGCTGTCAAGTCCCCAAGTGTTTCAAGTTTCCAAATTCACCAAGGGAATGGAGGATTAAGAGATGGGCTGGGCACTGTGGTTCACGCCTATAATCCCAGCACTTTGGGAAGCTGAGGTGGGCAGATCACTGGAGGCCAGGAGTTCAACACCAGCCTGGGCAACACAGCAAAATCCTGTCTCTACTAAAAATACCAAAAAAATTAGCCAGGCCTGGTGGCAGGCACCTGTCATCTGGCTACTCTGGATGCTGAGACAAGAGAATCACTTGAACCTGGGAAGTGGAGGTTGTAATGAGCCAAGATAGCGCCACTGCACTCCAGCCTGGGAAACACAGTGAGACCCTGCCTCAAAACAACAACAACAAAAAAGGAGTTGAACTGTGGAAGCCAAAGGGGTGGACTGAAGTTAAATATGGACTAAGGATTCTAATTTGGGGATTGGCTTATTCATCCAGTGTTCACTTCCGGGTGTCGCTGCATTTTTCTTCCTTGGATTTCGTAAAAGCTCTTCCTTAGGAGACTAGAAAGGGTATTAGCATGCCTAGCATCTTCCTTAAAAACATGTTTACTGGTTTGTAGGCACATTAAGAATGATGCTGTTCTCCCCACAGGAATACAAAGCAGTTGGACAAACTCAGACCCGCTTGTTGGAGAACCACTCAGCTTGGCTCATTTCAGCCCCTCCAACAGCCTTCCAGCCAACCAGCTAGGTTTCTCAGCTTTCAGAACACAAGATGAGGCCCAGTCCTCAACATCCCACTCATCCCACCAAACTCTTTCCTATTGTTTACTTTATTCCTATTGTTTTTTTTGAAATGGAGTCTTGCTCTGTCGCCCAGGCTGGAGTACAGCGGCACGATCTTGGCTCGCCGCAACCTCCGCCTCCTGGGTTCCAGTGATTCTCCAGACTCAGCCTTCCAAGTAGCTGGGATTACAGGCACCTGCTACCACACCCGGCCAATTTTTACATTTTTAGTAGAGAGGGGGGTTTCACTATGTTGGCCAGGTTGGTCTCGAACTCCTGACCTTGTGATCCACCCGCCTTGGCCTCCCAAAGTGCTGGGATCAGAGGCATGAGCCACGGCATCTGGCCCTCTTTCCTGCTGTTTCAACCCCATGGCTCCTCTATCAAGTCCCAGCATAATACAGCTGACGCTCTAGGCTCTTGTGAGAGAAAAATCTCTTCTTCCAGAAGGGGCAAGACTTGGCAGTTCCCAAGCATGCATTCCTCAGAGGGGCAATAAATGGTAACTCTCTCAGGAGTAGAGTGCTGCCCGCTTAAGGGAGCTGCCATCAAATGCTGAGCGGAGGATAGGTGCAGCCCTGACATGACGCTCTCCTTCACAGTGACGAATCTGCTCAAGACTCCCGATTCCTGCTGGCCCCGGATCAAAGCTGTGCTGTGCGGGCCTCCTGTTTCCAACACGCTGAGGGCGTGCACAGCCACTTTCCCTCAGCTCAACAGAGCACTTGGAGCCCAGATGAGGAGAGAAACAAGAATGAAGTTCTAGGATGGGAAAGTGGTGCCACAAATTGTGAGTCAATACATGGGATCCAGATATCCTGAAATACACGCTGGACAAACAGTCTTCTTCATAATAAGCGCAGCCCTTTCTTTCCCGTCACTTTGCCTGGTCTCCCAAGTTTCAAAGAAATCAAATCCTGTGATAATGAACGAAGTCACTGGCTGCTGCTATGCCCCAGTGCATGGCTTGGTTGATTGAGAAAGTCTCTGGCTGGGTGCAGTGGCTCACGCCTGTAATCCCAGCACTTTGGGAGGCAGAGGCGGTGAATCTCTTGAGGTCAGGAGTTCAAGACCAGCCTGGCCAACATGATGAAACACCATCTCTCTAAAAATACAAAAATTAGATTACAGGTGTGGTGGCTCACACCTGTAATCTCAGCACTTTGGGAGGCCAAGGCAGGTGGATCACTTGAGGTCAAGAGGTCAAGACCAGCATGGCTAACATGGTGAAACCCCATCTCTACTAAAAATACAAAAATTAGCCAGGTGTGGTGGTGCACACCTGTAATCTCAGCTACTCAGGAGGCTGAGGCAGGAGAAATGCTTGAATCTGGGAGGCGGAGGATACAGCAAGCTGAGATGGTGCCACTGCACTCCAGCCTGGGTGACAAGAGTGAAACTCCATCTCCAAAAAAAAAAAAAAAAAAAAAAGTCGCATTATTCTGTTCGTATCTTCCTCAACCCAAACATCCAGTGAAAATAGGTCATCTTAACAGACAGTTTGCCATGAAAATCGTGTCCAATCACACCCTGCAGGCTCAGTGCAGTCATGAGGAGGTAGGTCATCCTGTCTTCTTCGCTCGAATGGCTTTAACTCCCCCAGGGTGAGGGGGGAATCTGCTCCCCTGTACAAGCCAGGTTTCCTGCTCAGCTCAGGAGAGGGACCTAGAAAGAAGAGGAACAATGGAGCCTCCTGGTAGGGGCCCTGTCTGCTCTCCTTCTAGGGGAAAACAGCTCCAGCGCTGTAAGGGTTGGTCCTTAGCCTGCAGGATACTCAACCACTAAGGAACGAGAGCTGTGTATGGAATCCAAGTAAGGACAAGAAAAGGGAGACTATTCCTTCTCACCAGAGTGGCTCTCCCCAAGGCTCAACCCCAATGAGGAGCCTCTTTTCCACCAAGGAGCAGAGAAGACCACCTCGGTGGGACAGAGAAGGTTCCCTGGACCCCAGCCTCCAACTCACTTCTTCCTGCGGATCTTGGGCTTCTTCACGGGCCGCAGATAAGGGTTATCGATGATATTTTCCTCCCCATTCCGGCTTCCTGACAAGGAGGGGTTCTGCTGCAGGACAGACGTGTTCTCCTTCTCAGCTCCAGAATCCTCCTTTGAGCAGAAGCCGAAATAAAGCACAACACCAACAGCATAAGGAAAGAGATCACGCCCATAATTGGAATGACTGTTAGCAGCCTTTCACTGAGAAATTAGGATCTGGGAAGCACCTTCTTTCCAGCGTTCCTATCTCTGCCTCCGATGAAGTGAGGAGCAGGCAGGGGCTGGCTATAAAGGAAAGGCAAGACTAACAGCCTTGACCCAGGACAGCACACAACAGAGTCCAGAGTCTTGAACCTCTGGAGAAGGCAGAGACAGGGGTTAGGAAGAACAGAGACCTGGGAGGGACAGGAATCAAATTCAGATGCTTCAGGGAGAATGCCCAGCCTGGTGGGGAGATGAAGAGGAAAGTGGCCCCGGATGCCCTGCAGGACTGGGAGATACGAGATCAGAACAAATCATTTGCGTAGGGTACGATGCAGGAGATCGGGAGCTAGCCTACATCAGAACAGACTTCCCCCTCGAATTCTCAAATTTCTGGTACCTGCGACATGCTACCAACGATCACATCCCAGCATAGGCCAGAAACTTCAAGAGCCCTGAGGGTTCTACTAACAGAAGCAGACCCTGCAGGTACCAGCACATGCACATCATTGGTCATGCCTATCTGCAACCTACAAGGCAGGTTTTTTTTTGTTTTGTTTTGTTTTGGTGAGACAGAGTCTCACTCTGTCGCCCAGGCTGGAGTGCAATGGCATGATCATGGCTCACTGCAACCTCCGCCTCCCGGGTTCAAGCAATTCTCTGCCTCAGCCTCCTGAGTAGCTGGAATTACAGGCATGTGCCATGATGCCTGGCTAATTCTTGTATTTTTAGTAGAGCCGAGGTTTCACCATCTTGGCCAGGCTGGTCTTGAACGCGTGACCTCGTGATCCACCTGCCTTGGCCTCCCAAAGTGCTGGGATTACAGGCATAAGCCACCAGGCCTGGTCTGGGTTTTTGAGACAGTCTCCTTGTGTCACCCAGGCTGGAGTCAGTGGCACAATCTTGGCTTACTGCAGCCTCTGCCTCCTGGGTTCAAGTGATTCTCCTGCCTCAGTCTCCAGAGTAGCTGGGATTACAATCAAGTGCCATGATGCCCAGCTAATTTTTTTTTTTTTTTTTTTTTTGAGACAGAATCTCACTGTCTTAAAAAAAGGAGGCTGGAGTGCAGTGGCACAATCTTGGCTCACCATAAACTCCAACTCCCTGATTCAAGCTATCCTCCTGTCTCAGCCTCTCAAGTAGCTGGGATTACAGGCACCTGCCACCTCAGCCAGTTAATTTTTGTATTTTTATTACAGATGGGGTTTCACCATGTTGGCCAGGATGGTCACGATCTCCTGACCTTGTGATCTGCCCACCTCAGCCTCCCAAAGTGCTGGAATTACAGGTGTGAGCCATCGCACCTGGCCTAATTTTTGTATTTTTAGTAGAGATGGGGTTTTACCAGTTGGCCAGGCTGGTCTTGAACTCTAAGGCAGGGTTTTTTTTACTGTTTACTTTTTAGAAAAATGTGGTTTTTCAGAAAAGTTTGTAAGTTCACATGTAATCAGCATGATCAAAATTTTTCAAGTCACAGTTGTGTATAAACACAGAAAAAGGTAATACTTTGATATTTAAAAAAATGTTCTGCGAGGATGAGTGATCGGTTCTCCTTTGCTTAGTCACACACGCCTCTATTTTCCACATTTGGTCAGGTTGCGCCCCCTGGTGACGGGTCAAGGGGAAGAGGTCATTGAGATTCCTGTTCTGCAACTTGAGGCTAAAGAGACCCTCACTGACCTCAAGCAGGAGAGGTTGCTGTCAAAACAGGCAGAGGACACTGTGACTGGATGGCATGAAATGAACAGCAGCTTCCCGCCACAGGACAGCTGTTCTAGGGCATGGACACCAGTCTCAGGCTTAATGAGCTGGAAGAAACCAGATCACGGCCGGGTTCCCCTGCGTGCCCTCTCACTGTCCTAGCAACTGTTCTCTTCAAAGACCCAATTCCATTCACCCAGTATCAGGGGCTGGGTGCTTTCTCTCTCCAGCACCCAATCCAGTGGGACCACAAGGTGACCTAGAGCCACTGGGGCCTTCTGGAGACTCTTGAAAGCAGGCGCCGCTGGACCAAACTAGCTCAAGCCAGACCAGGTTCTGGAAAAACGGTCTGTCCACAACCAGACCTCCCTTGGGTATTTGGTGTCCAACCTTTCTGGAGTTCCTAATGGCGCGACTGAGTAGTATCTCTGTCCTCCGTCCACCCCATCATTTCTCTATAGTAGACAGCCTATGTTCAAAGTTATTGGAAGTTGCTGGGCACGGTATCTCACGCCTGTAATCCCAGCACTTTGGGAGGCAATCACTCTGCTTGGGCCCACCACTGCCTCTCGCCTAGGCTTGAAGCTGGGAGGCAGAGGTTGCAGTGAGCCAAGATCAAGCCATTCCACTCCAGCCTGGGCAAAAAGAGTGAAAACTCCATCTCAGAAAAAAAAAAAAGTTACTGGAAGTTCACTTCAACTGTGCCTTCAGTGTTTTCTGAGATACAGATGGAGGTAACTCAGAAAGGTGCTGAAAACGCTCGCCTCAAAGACACTGCTGGAGGGTCCAGAGGCTCCCTCCATTCAGCACAGCACGGCTCACAAGAGCAGGATGACAGCCTCCCTTCTCCCAAGCAGGCTTCACAGAAACATCCCCCTCAGGGACAGGTAGCACTGAGATGGGGAGGAGTGGGGGAGTCAGTAAAAAAAAAAAAAAAAAAAAAAAAAAAAAAAAAAAAAGTAGGCTGGGCATGGTGGCTCATGCCTGTAATCCCTGCACTTTGGGATGCTGAGGCAGGCAGATCACCTGAGGTCAGGAGTTCGAGACCAGCCAGGCCAACATGGTGAAACCCTGCCTCTACTAAAAATAGAAAAAAATTAGCCAGGTGTGGTGGTAGGCACCTGTAATCCCATCTAATTGGGAGGCTGAGGCAAGAGAGTCACTTGAACCCGGGAGCTGGAGGTTGCAGTGAACCGAGCCTGGGTGACACAGTAGGTCTCCATCTCAAAAAAAAAAAAAAAAAAAAAAAAAAAAAAAAAAAAAAAAAAGTCAAACAGACCCAGAGATTTGTAAAAAAGGTGGGAGCAAAATGGTCTATCAGGAGCTCCCTGAATGGCCTGTGAGTCTAGCAAGCCCCACACCTTCTGTGGTGACTGCATCCAGTCCCCCAGCTTTCAGTGCCATGTCCACGCCAGTGGCTCCCTGGCATACATCTCCAGCCCTCACCTCTCCTGACTTCCAGGCTCAAGCAGCCAACTGCTCACTCAGCATCTCTACTGGGATGTCAGGGAGGCAGCTCTGACTTTAGGCACCTAAGTCTGAATTAGGGACCTTCCCCTGCATGTTCTCTTCCCCGGCTCTTCTCAGCCCCTCCCATCACAGGTGATGGCAATTCCATCCTTCTAATGGTGCAAGTCACAAACTCTGTGGTCATTCTTGCTTGTTTTCTTTCTTTTCTTTTTAAACAGTGTCTCACTATGTTGCCCGAAACTGGACTCCAATTCCTGGGCTCAATCTTCCTGCCTCAGCTTCCCAAGTGATATGGGATAACAGGATGCACCACCACACCTGGCACGCTTCCTTTCTTTTGCTGACATCCCACGCCCAGTCTGTTAGGACACCCTCTTGGACTTACCTTCAAAATCCAGGCAGGTACTGACCACTTCCACCACCTTGCTGGCAACCACTCTGCCTCTCACCTAGGCTATAGTGATAGCCTCCTGACTGATCTCTCTAGTCTGTTCTTACAGAGCCATCAGAGTGACTGACGCTTTAAGAAGCTCAGAAACGTCCCTCCTCTGCTCCACACCCTCACACAACTCCCATCTCACTTAGTTAAAAGCCAGCTCTTAAAACAGCCTACGAGGCCCTCCCTCCCTCAAGCCACTCACTATTCCACAGGGTCTCTGCACTGCCCACTCCCTCTGCCAGAACATTCTTCCCCAGACATCCACATGGCTCAGTCCTTCACCCATTTCAAGCCCCTGCTCACTTACCCATTCTCAGTAACACCTACTCCAAGTACCCCACTTAAAACTGAAGGCTCCTCCTCACCCTGGATCTTCCCCTATTTCTCCCCCCACAGCACTTTCATCTCTGATATATCATGTAATGATTTATTCATATTTCATATTTACTGTCATTCTCCCACAGCCAAACATAGGCTTCTAAAAGGTAGAGGTTTCTGTTTTTCTCACTGCTTTATCCCAAAAGCCAGAACAGTATCTGGCACATAATAGGTGCTAAATGAACACTGGTTGAGTAAGTGACTGGTACATTTTTCATAAAAGAGTGAAAGCACCAGGCATGGTGGTGTGTGTCTGTAGTCCCAGCTACTCGGGAGGCTGAGGTGGGAGGATCGCTTGAGCCCAGGAGTTCTGGGCTGTAGTGCGCTATGCCGATTGGGTGTCTGCACTAAATTTGGCATCAATATGGTGACCTCCCGGGAGCGGGGGACCACAAGATTGCCTAAGGAGGGGTGAACTGGTCCAGGTTGGAAATAGAGCAGGTCAAAATTCCTGTGCTGATCAGTAGTGGGATCATGCCTGTGAATAGCCACTGTACTCCAGTCTGGGCAACAAAGCGGAGGAAAAGTTTAGCTGGGCACAGTGGCTCACACCTGTAATCCAGCACTTTGGGAGGCCAAGGCAGGTGGATCAAAGGTCAGGAGTTCAAGACTAGCCTGGCCAAGATGGTGAAACCCCGTCTCCACTAAAAATACAAAAATTAGCCAGGCATAGTGGTGGGCATCTGTAATCCCAGCTACTTGGTAGACTGAGGCAGAGAATTGCTTGAACCCAGGAGCTGGAAGTTGCAATGAGCCAAGATTGTGCTGCTGCTCTCCAGCCTGGGCGACAGAGTGAGACTCCTTCTCTCTTTTTTTTTTTTTTTTTTTCTTTTTCCCGAAGACAGGGTTTCACCATGTTGGTCAGGCTGGTCTTGAACTCCTGACCTCAGGTGATCCACCCGCCTTGGCCTCCAAAGAGCTTGGATTACAGACAGGTGTAAGCCACTGTGCCCAGCCAACTCCTTCTCCAAAAAAAAAAAAAAAAAATTCAGGATACACTCCAGAGAAAGAAAAAAGTAAAAAAATTTTTTTAAAAAGGTAAAAGTTTAAATATCTGGGTTGGCTGCAGAAAGCAACTGGTTCAAATACATGAGAAAACAATCTATTATACATGAATTTAAAATGAATAGCTCCTTTATGTTCAAGTACATGGAGAAACTAGAACCAGGGTAAATAAAGTACTACCTAACAACAGACCTTGAGAGGTACACTGTCATCAAAGACAAAAGAATAACAAAATACCAGTTATTTACTTTGCTATAACAATGTCTATAAATGCTAAAGACAGAAAACCACCTAAATGTTCATGGGGGACCAGATAAATGAAATGGTTACATCCATATAATGGAAGATAAAGCACTGTGAGCAACGGTACAGCTCCTCCCTGACAGACGTGGAAGGACCGCCAAGATACAGCCGGGGAAAAAGCAAGAAGAGAACAGAGTGTGATCTGCTGTTTCTGTTCAAAATCACAATTTAAAAAATGTCTCTAGAAGGATACACAAGAGGCTGGTGAGACAGTTCTGTGGGAGGGAAAGTGGGTGACAGGGAACGGGATGGGAGGGATTGTCACCATACATCTTTTCGCACGCTCTGAATTTTGAAACATATGATTGTATTTCCCAGTCTAACAAAGTAACATTAGGTCCAACTGACTGTAGTAAATTGTCACTAGAATCTTTGTCTTGAAGTCTTTTTATTTTTCACAGAAAGGCATATATCCAAATCTCCACCTGACATCACCACCTGATGTTTAACGAGCATCTCAAACTTATCATGTCTATGTTTAAGACACAAACATGAACTCCTAACTTCCCCCCCACACCTCTTCCACCCACTGGTTGTTCCTATCTTGGCTGAAGGCAATTCTATCTTTCCTATCGTTCAGGCAAAAAACCTTACAGCTCTCTCTCTCTTCTCTCTCATATCCACTCTATCAACTGGTTCTGCTCTGAAAGTGATCTAGAATCTGACCACATAATCTAGATGACCACATCTCTCCTATCTTTGCTCCTCCTACCATCTCTCAGTTTACCGTGACAGCACACTAACTGGTCTCTCCGCTTCTGCCTGCCCCCTGTAGCCCGTCCTCGGCACAGCAACCTGCTGGCCCTGTTAGCAAACCTACATCAGATCCTGACCTTCCTCTGCTCAACATCTCCAGTGGCTCCGTCTTCCTGAGTAAATGGCAAAGTGTCTACTATAACCTTTAAGACCCTGTAAGGTCCGACTCCCCATGGGCTGTCTCTGACCTCATCCCCTACTGTTCTCCCTCTTGTTCACTCCACCCTGGCCACCCAGATGTCCTTGCTGTTCTTCAATTCAACAGTTGCTGCTCCTGCTGCCTAGAATGGCTCCACTCCCAGACATGCGCCTGCTTTGTTCCCTTCAGGGATTTATTCAAACGTCACCTTCTCAGTCACCCTACCTAATGCTGCACCCCTCCCATCCCCATCCCCACTTCCTATCTCCTCATCTATTATTTTTCCTTAGCCCCATGAGGGCAGGGAATTTTAGATATTTTGCTTTCTACTAATTCCCCAGCACCTGAAACTGTGCCTGGCCTTGCCCCAGGCACTCATTCAATATTTGTTGACGGAACAATTGAATCCCCAGGACACAAATGTGTCTCTAAGCAAGAGATCAGGTCACACCTGGATCATTACACAAGCCCTCATGCAGGCCTCTAACATAAAGCCAGAGACCTGAGGTCGATCATGTCTAGGTCCCAAGGTGACAGACTCAGGCAGGGTGGGATAGTTGGGGGAATACTCTGAGGCAGGCAGAAGGTGGGACCCACCATGCTGATATGAAGAGCAAGGTTCTCTGTGTCTGTCTGTTCGTCCTGCTCCGAGGAATCTGTCTCTTCCATTTGTTGCATCTCCAGCTCAGATGGAAGAAGAGCTGTCAGGTAGGGGATGGTGAAAGGTCTGGCAGCAATCACTGGTGAATTGGAAGAGAGGCATGAGTCCGCTGTCACGGAGACCTCGCAGCTAGCCTAGAGTCCTAGAGCCTCACAACCAATCAGTGAGCAGCACCAAAAGATAATACTAGCGAACTCACTCCAAGTACTTACACAGCAGGCTGGACAATGTCCCATGGCCTTTACACGTTACCTTTCGCCCCTGCTCCCATCCTATTAAGTAAGTGCCATTAGGCACAGAGAGGTGAAATGACTTTCCCAAGCATGCTGGAAGTGGCAGAATGAGGTTCCAACTCAGGCAATATGACTTCAGAATCTACTTTTTGCCAAGTACAACTGAGATAAGATTGAAATGGGATTATAGACAGAATCCTGGCAACACATGAATTTTGAGATCTTGCACCCAAGGTCAGTTAAACCCCTCTGAGCTTCATTTCCAGAGCAAGAATATTGATTCTTTCGGTCTGAAGGACTCAAGTCCAAAGGCTGGATTTGAGCACTCTGCATATATGCATGTCCACCGAACTGTAAGACACTCTGGTAAATGACAGTTCTAGTTCTTCCAAAAAGCAATGAGGATGAGAGGAAGAAACTGATTTAAAAATGATATTAAAAGAAAGAAGGCCAGGTGTGGTGGCTTATGCCTATAATCCTAGCACTTTGGGAGGCTGAGGCAGGAGGATTGCTTGAGCCCAGGAGTTTGAGACCAGCCTGGGCAATACGGTGAAATCCTGTCCCTAGGAAAGATAAAATTAGCTGGGTATAATAGTGCAATGTAGTCCCAGCTACTAGGGAGGCTGAGGTGGGAGGCTCACTTGAGTCCAGGAGGTAGAGGCTGTAGTGAGCTGTGTTTGTGCCACTGTACTCAAGCCTGGGCGACAGAGTGAGATCCTGTCTCAAAACAGAAAAAGAAAAGAAAAAATCTCTGTGGATACTTCTGTGGTAGAATGTGACTGTTAGAAAATACTCTAGAATTGGCTGGGCATGATGGCTGATGCCTATAATCCCAGCATCTTGGGAGGCTGAAGCAGGGAGATCACTTGAGCTCAGGAGTTTAAGACCAGCCTAGCCAATATGGTGAAACCCCATCTCTACTAAAAATACAAAAAATTAGCCAGGTGTGGTGGTTCATGCCTGTAGTCCCAGCTATTCAGGAGGCTGAGGAAGGAGAATCACTTGAACCCGGGAGGCAGAGTTTGCAGCAAGCAGAGATCATATCAGTGCACCCCAGCCTGGGTGACACAGCAAGACTCTGTCTCAAAAAACTCCACAAAAACTCCAGAATTATTTTTGCTGTGGGTCAGATGTGGGGTCCCACAGTTAAGAGCCAGGTTTGAATGCTACCTACTGGCCATGTTCCTTGAGCAAGTGACTTCATTTCTCTTCTCTTATGCCTCACTGAGGGGTTCCCATGAAGGTGGTGATAGTATGTTTCTAACTCAGAGGCTCACTAGAGAATTTAATGCGATAATGTATGGGAAGTGATCAGCACAGTAGCTGGCACTTAATAACTGGCAGCTGCTGTCATTCCAGAGCCAGGCACCCAGCAGGCATTCCACAGCAGCTTGCTGGATCAATCAATCACCTAAACCAACCTCCCTCACTCACCTTTGTAAAAACTGAGGTCTCTGGAAATGAAATAGCTTGATCAATGTGGCCAAATAGTGCTAAGATGCAAAGTTAAATGAGACGGGACCTACAAGGGAACGTCGCGATGGACAACTGGCCCCTGATGCCAGTGTTCCTTCTACTACCTGGGCTGCTAGAGTGTCTCTGATGCCTAGGCCTAGGCCACCCTCAAGGCAACTCAATGGACCTCAAGCGGCCAATCCCAACAGAGGCCTTTACTGTTTTGGAGTCGTCCATTAGGGACAGACTCTTAAGATGTGGAGAAAGGAGTCAGAAAGCTAAGGGACAAGCTGTGCCCAAGAGAAGGAAAAAAGCTTATTTGTTTCTTCGTACCATGCTGAGAGAAGGGGAAGACAGTGTGAGTATTTCTATTTTTTTTTTTGTTTGAGATGGAGTCTTACTCTGTCACCCGGGCTGGGGTGCAGTGGTGTGATCTGCATCCTCTGCCGCCTGGGTTCAAGTGATTCTCCTCCTCAGCCTCCCGAGCAGCTAAGATTACAGGCGCCTGCCACTACACCCAGCTAATTTTTTTATATTTTTTGTGCGGACGGGGTTTCACCATGTTGGTCAGGCTGGTCTTGAACTCCTGACCTTGTGACTCACTTGCCTAGGCCTCCCAAAGTGTTGGGATTACATGTGTGCCACTGCTCCCAGCGGTGCGAGTATTTCAGATGATAAGCAGTGGGGCAACTCTTACATGGAAATGTGCTGACATCATCTTTGAAAAGACTCTGGGTCTCGCCTGTCTTGGCCATGAAACGGGTGAGTGCCCGCTCCACGTCGCGCCTCTGCGATGCAGCCTTTTCCCGCAGGACCTGGTAGTCTGACACGGGCTCACGGTACGTCTACAAAGAGAAGAGCAAAGACACTGGGGTGATGCCGAAGTATCATTCTGCTATCATCAGCACCCTGGCTTGCTGTTGCTACGTCCTACTCTCTAAAATGACTTCATACCATTAGTTAGAGCCAAGATCACCAAAGCACAGTAGAAAGGCAGAAAAACAATGTAACCACATTAATATTTATTTCTAGTTAAAAATTAAGAAATGTGCAAATACTTACTGCAGAGATTGTCCTGGGGCCTTCACTCAGCTCCCATTACAGATGGTCTCAGGTCTAAGAGACACAGGCTGAAGAAAGAGTGGGAGTGCCCCCAGGGAAGCCCTGATGGGGACCACAGGCTCCATCAGCATAATGTAACCTGGTGTATGGGAATGGCTGTCTATGTGGATTTGTGGATTATACTATCCCATCGTCTTAAATCAATCCTCACAATATGGATACACTGTTCCAAAAAGATTCCCTCAATGAAAGAGAGGCTGAAAAATCTTATTATATGTGCAAGTGACCAAGAAAATGGTAGGCTGCCACTCTTCTTCCTAATTATGAGCTTGTTGGCAATCAAGGGAAAACGACTGAGATCAGAATGAGAAATGGGCCAAAATATTTTATTATTTTTTTGAAGACAGAGCCCTGCTCTGTCACCCAGGCTGGAGTACAGTGGCTCGATCTCGGCTCACTGCAATCTCTGCCTCCTGGGTTCAAGTGATTCTCCTGCCTCAGCCTCCTGAGTAGCTGGGACTACAGGTGTGCACCACCACACCTGGCTAATTTTTGTATTTTTTAATAGAAATGGGTTTCACCATATTGGACAGGCTGGTCTTGAACTCCTGACCTCGTGATCCACCTGCCTCAGCCTCCCAAAGTGCTGGGATTACAAGCGTGAACCTCTGCACCTGGCCCACATTCTGAGTTTTGAACCACCCTTTCACCAACAAGCTTTCGGGCTGGACTCTGCCACCTGACAGTCGGTAGGAACTGACTCCATACTTTACACCACACACAGCCCCAGTGTGGCTTTATCACTCACCGGAGTCTTGATGTAGGTGTGGGGATCAGGGAACTCAGGAAAATGGCTGGGGATGTGCGGCGGGTGGGGTCTGTTCTGCCCTGCAGTGAGGGCCTTGGGGGTCACTGGCTGATTAGTCACTGGAGCTGCAACAGAGTCAACAACTGATTACCCCTCCACCCAAGACTCTGGTTTCTACAGATTATGGTCTCTCCCTAAAGCCTCCCTTTCTCAAAGAAAATGCCAGACCTCAGTTTTCTAAACAAGTGGTGTTTTGTATTTCAATAAATAAAAGGTCTTTGATGGCTTAAGGACCTGCACCCCCACAATGCCCAGCCTGCCGGCTGATCTTGGATGACGTTCCCTTTGACAACAATCTGCCCATAAGCCTCTTAGGTGGAGGTGGGTGGCTGTGGTCACAGTAACTACGTAAGACAGCATGCTAAGAAGCTATGACAGTTACATAGGCTGCTGATTCTCTTTTCAGAGACCTTGAATAACAAAGACGAACAATGAGCTGAGGACGATACATGTGGGCTTAATCATAACAAGGGGAATTGAAAATGGCACCTTCCACTGCTACCTTGAAAGGGAGCATTTTAAAAAAAAGCCAACAAAAAAATTGACTTCAAGCCAGACTCGGTGGCTCACACCTGTAATCCCAGAACTTTGGAAGACTGAGGTGGGTGGATCACCTGAGGTCAGGAGTTCGAGACCAGTCTGACCAATATGGTGAAACCCCATCTTAAAAAAAAAAAAAAAAAAAAAAATTGACTTAAAAAAAAAAATCCAGGCCGGGTGCAGTGGCTCACGCCTGTAATCCCAGCACTTTGGAAGACTGAGGTGGGTGGATCACTTGGGGTCAGGAGTTTGAGACCAGCCTGGCCAAACATGATAAAACCCTGTCTCCACTAAAAATATAAAGGTTAGCTGGGTGTGGTGGTAGGCACCTGTAATCCCAGCTACTTGGGAGGCTAAAGTCAGAGAAGAGCTTGAACCTGGGAGGCAGAGGTTGCAGTAGTGAGCCAAGATCATGCCACTGCCCTCCAGCCTGGACCACAGAGGGAGATTCCATCTCAAAAAAAAAAAAAAAAGAAAGAAAAAATCCAGTTAGTTCTCTCTGGGTCCTACCAGCCCAAACTTGTTACTCTCTATTCAGCTTATGACACCCAGTTTTACCTGAACTTTGTCATCAAACTTTGTGTAAAGGGCCACATAATAAATGCTTTAGGTTTTGCATGTGGTAAAGTCTCTACCACGACTAAATTCTGCCATTATAGCATGAAAGCAACCGCAGATAAGAAGTAAATATGGCTGCGTTCTGATAAGACTTTATTTACAGAGACAGGAGGCAGGCTGCATCTGGCTACAGGCCACAGTTTACCAACCCTCACTCTAAGGAGAACAAGAATCTTCATTTTTCCAAGCAGCATCATTTGCTCTTCTGGGGCTAGAGCACAAGAACCACAGTGATATCTCAGAGACGGTTTCCCTTTTGGTGACTGAATTGCACATGCTAATCCCACTAGCGCAAACAAAGATGATATTGCAGGAAGTCCCAAACGTTGGAAGACAGCCCACAAAAAGGAAGTAGCTACTAATCCAATCTCTGCCATATTTAATTACTTCATCCCACAAGCATTAGTTGATAAATTACTAAGCGCCTCAGTTCAAAGTCACTTACGAGCAGTGATGACCATCCTCTGAGACCGTTTTGCATAAGCAGGGAGAGTGTCCACATTGAAACCTAAGAGAGAGGAAGACAAGAATCACTGCCAAGACCACTAAATATTGAACACAGAAAAGAGGAATAGCATTATGGACAAAATGCTCAACTCAATGATCTTGCAGCCTTGCAAAAGGAGCTCTGGCAGAATTCCCTAACAGGGAGTTATGAGGCCTTTTATATGTGTTCAGAGGAACCTCTCCTGATAACTCTCTCTAGCTCAAAGCAGATCAAGAGAACCATGAGGGAAACCAAGGACACTAGCAGACATGCCTGACTCCTAGGGACTCCTCTTTCCAGTGGCATGGAAGAACTGGAAACTGAAGGTGTACTCACCCATCTCAACAAGTGTGACCACAATATCTGATAGTGTGGGCTGGGTCCTGGCTGTGTGCTCACAGTAAGACTTGGCACTTCTCCCAATTTCTGAAATGTCTAAGAGGGAATTAAAGGCATAAAACTTATTCACAGTTCCTCAGAAAGCTAAACATAGAATTACCATATGAACCAACAATTCCACTCCTAGGTATATACTCAAATGAATTGAAAGCAGGGATTCAAACAGCTAGTAGTACACCAAAAGTCCTAGCAGCATGATTCCCAATAGCCAAAAAGTAGAAACAACCCAGTGTCCACTAACTGGTGAATAACAAAATGCGGTGCATACATACGATGGAATATTCCTCAGCCTTAAAAAGGAAGGAAATTCTAGTAATGTTACAGCATAGATGAACTTGGAAAACATTATGCTAGGTCAGGCGTGGTGGCTCACACCTGTAAACCCAGCACTTTGGGAGGCCGAGGCAGGTGGATCACCTGAGGTCAGGAGTTCGAGACCAACCTGACCAACACGGCGAAACCCCGTCTCTACTAAAAATACAAAAATTAGCTGAGCGTAGTGGTGAGCACTTGCAATTCCAGCTATTTGGGATGCTAAGACACGAGAATAGCTTGAACCAAGGAGACAGAGGTTGCAGTGAGCTGAGATCAAGCCATTGCACGCCAGCCTGGGTGACAGAACAAGACACCATCTCAAAAATTAGAAAAGAAAAGAAAACATTATGCTAAGGCCGGGTGCGGTGGCTCTCGCCTATAATCCCAGGACTTGGGGAGGCGGAGGCGGAGGCAGATGGATCACTTGAGGACAGGAGTTCGAGACCAGCCTGGCCAATATGGTGAAACCCCATCTCTACCAAAAATATAAAAATTTAGCCAGGTGTGGTGGTGCATGTCTGTAATCCCAGCTACTCAGGAGGCTGACGCAGGAGAATTGCTTGAACTGGGAGATGGAGGTTACAGTGAGCCAAGATCACACCACTGTACTCCAGCCTGGGAGACAAAGCAAGACTCCATCTCAAAAAATAAAATAAAGATTATGCTAGCGCCGGGCGCGGTGGCTCAAGCCTGTAATCCCAGCACTTTGGGAGGCTGAGGCGGGTGGATCACGAGGTCAAGAGATCGAGACCATCTTGGTCAACAAGGTGAAACCCCGTCTCTACTAAAAATACAAAAAATTAGCTGGGCATGGTGGCTCATGCCTGTAATCCCAGCTACTCAGGAGGCTGAGACAGGAGAATTGCCTGAACCCAGGAGGCGGAGGTTGCGGTGAGCCGAGATCGTGCCATTGCACTCCAGCCTGGGTAACAAGAGCGAAACTCCATCTCAAAAAAAAAAAAAAAGATTATGCTAAGTGAAATAAGGCAGACAGAAAAGACAAATATAAGATTCAGCTTATATGAGGTAAACAGAGACAGAAAGTAGATTAGAAGTTATCAGGGGATGCTGGGAACAGTGGCTCACACCTGTAATGCCAGCACTTTGGGAGGCTAAGGCGGGTGGATCACATGAGGTTGGGAGTTCGAGACCAGCCTGACCAACATGGAGAAAACCCCATCTCTACTAACAATACAAAATTAGCTGGGCATGGTGGTGCATGCCTGTAATCCCAGCTACTCAGGAGGCTGAGGCAGGAGAATAGCTTGAACCCAGGAGGCGGCTGCAGTAAGCTGACATCACACCATTGCATTCCAGCCTGGGCAACAAGAGTGAAACTCCATCTCAAAAAAAAAACATTACCAGGGGATGAAGAGGGAGGGATCATGGGGAGTTACTGTTTACGGGTACAGTGTGTCTGTTTAGAATGATGAAAAAGTTCTGAAAATAGTGATGATGGTTGCATAACATTGGGAATGTACTTAATATTACTGAATTGTACACTTAAAAATGGTTAAAATGGGCCAGACACGGTGACTCCAGCCTGTAATCCTAGCTCTTTGGGAGGCTAAGGCGGGCAAATCACAAAATCAGGAGATCCGAGACCATCCTGGTCATGGTAAAACCCTGCCTCTACTAAAATACAAAAAAGTTAGCCGGGTGTGGTGGCGCACACCTGTAGTCCCACCTACTCAGGAGGCTGCGGCAGGGGAATCACTTGAACCTGGGAGACAGAGGTTGCAGTGAGCAGAGATTGTGCCACTGCACTCCAGCTTGGCAACAGAGCAAGACTGTCTCAAAAAAAAAAAATGGTTAAAATGACAAATTTTGTTATGTATATCTCACTGCCACACACGCAGAAAGGTCTCACTCTCTGAGGCGCAATTTTTGTTTCTTCTGCCTGAAGCTAAACCTCTACTTAATAGTCATGTTAAAGTCCTTTGGGGAAAAGGGGAAGGTTTCTAAGATGGAGTTTTTGAAGCTGGGCTCTGTGAATGAGTGTCCAAGGTGGATGGGAGGTTTCACAAATATTCTGAAACTGTGTTGAATGTTACACACAAAAAAAGCATTTTTTGGGGAATGGGTCCACAGATTGTATCAAATGCACAAATGGGCCCAAAAGGTAAGGAACTCCTGCTCTAGCAACCCACTGGCTCAGAAAATAAAAGCACGTGGTGCCTAGCAGGTAAGGGTGTCTAACAGAAGACCCACCACCAATTCCCCAGCTACCCTGAGCAAATCACCTCTAGATATCAGCCTCTAGAAATAACCTTTAAACTCCAACTTCCAAGATTGTTCCAAGAACGGCATTCTTATCTCCTGAGAACGATTAATTCATTCTTTTAGGACGAAGTTTAAGAAGGGGTAGCCTGGGAACTGGTTGTAGGCCCCAAAATATTTTCTGAAGTCCACAGGTCAAAACTATTTTCATAATAAACTTAACTCATTATTTGACTTTTTTTTTTTTTTTTAGACGGAGTCTTGCTGTCCCCAGGCTGGAGTGCAGTGGCGTGATCTCAGCTCACTGCAACCTCTGCCTCCCGAGTTCAATCAATTCCCCTGCCTCAGCCTCCGGAGTTACAGGACTATAGGCGCATGCCACCACGCCTGGCTAATTTTTTGTATTTTAATAGAGACAAGGTTTCACCATGGTGGCCAGGAGGGTCTCAATCTCCTGACCTCCTGATCCCCTGCCTCAGCCTCCCAAAGTGCTGGGATTACAGGGGTGAGCCACCGCGCCCAGCCTATTTGACTTTTTTACTCTCATTCTCTCATGTAGTTTTCCTGAGTCTGTATGACTTTTGATGACATCATGGGTCTGATGAATAACAGAATATGTGATTATACATTCTTATTTTCAAAATTTGTTTTATTTTCTAACATGGCACATACACATATACAAAAGCTACTTGGGGTCCTCAATGTTTATTAATATAAAAGGATTCTGAGAGCTGGGCGTGGTAGCACATGCCTGTAGTCCCAGCTATGTGGGAGGCTTGGGCCCAGAAGTTTGAGGCCAGCCTGGGCAACATAGCAAGACCCCATCTCTAAAAGAATAAATAAATACAGGAGTTCTGAAGCCAAAATGTTTGAGATCACTGCTTTAGGAAAACATTTGGTATGTAAAAGCGCCAGACATCAGCTGCAGAGAGCCACCTTGCCCAAGATCACCTTTCCTGGGGTAGCCCACATCAGTGTTTGATCGAATCCTGAGTATAAAGGCAGAGCCCTTCCAGCTTGATGGGCAATAATGCTCCAGGGGTCCTGGCTGAGTTGTCCATTCTTTGTTGGGCCTGCACTGCACTCCACATCTCCCTCTACCCAAACCTTTCTCCTACTTCCTTTCATGGTTGTTGATCCCTAAGAAACACCGTAAATACTTCTATCCCTCATCCTATCCCATCCCCCAAAAGTTCAAAACAGGGAAATATGTTGTACATGCAGAAAAGCCTATGTGAGACCATGTTGGGCTTCTAAATCTCAACACATTTCTTTTTTTTTTTTTTTTTTGAGACGGAGTTTCGCTCTTGTTACCCAGGCTGGAGTGCAATGGCGCGATCTCGGCTCACCGCAACCTCCGCCTCCTGGGTTCAGGTAATTCTCCTGCCTCAGCCTCCTGAGTAGCTGGGATTATAGGCACGGGCCACCATGCCCAGCTAATTTTTTGTATTTTTAGTAGACACGGGGTTTCATCATGTTGACCAGGTTGGTCTCGATCTCTCGACCTCGTGATCCACCCGCCTCGGCCTCCCAAAGTGCTGGGATTACAGGCTTGAGCCACCGCGCCCGGCCCAACACATTTCTTTTAAAAGCAGCTTTTTGGCCAGGTACAGTGGCTCATGCCTATAATCCCAGCACTTTGGGAGGCTAAGGTAGACAGATCACCTGAGGTCAGGAGTTCGAGACCAACCTGGCCAACATGAAACCCCATCTTTACTAAAAATACAAAAATGAGTTGGGCATGGTGGTGCACACCTGTGATCCCAGATACTCAGGAGGCTGAGGCAGGAGAACTGCTTGAACCCTGGAGGGGGAGGCTATAGTGAACTGACATTGTGCCACTGTGCCCCAGCCTGGGCAACAGACTCCATCTAAAAAAAAGAAAAAAAAAAGGAGCGGGGGGAGCTTTTTCTTTGTGTTACGTAATCTAGCATTTGATTACATAATGTGATGATATCTATTGCATGAGGAATTAGTCCTGACTCCCCAACAAAAGTCTTTAAGGGCACCCATAACTCACTCAGAGCTTACAATCTCCCCAACATTGAATGTTTTATATATATATCTCACAGTCAAAACTCCATGAGGTACAAAGTGTTATCCTATTTCAAAAATTAGGAAATTGAGGTTCAGGAGGTTCAGTGGCTTGTCCAGGCTATTAAGTGACAGAGTGATGATGTACACTCAGGTCTATCTGATTCTAAAGCCTGTAAGTCACTTCATTATGTTCTCCTTCCTTCCTTCCTTCCTTCTTTTCATTCCCTCCCTCCCTCCCTCCCTCTCTTCTCTCTCTCTCTCTCTCTCTCTCTTTCTTTCTGTTTTTTGTTGTTGTTGTTGGAGACAGAGTCTTGCTCTATTGCCAGGCTGGAGTGCAGTGCCATAATCTCGGCTCACTGCAACCTCTGCCTCCCAGATTCAAGTGATTCTCCTGCCTTAGTCTCCCGAGTAGCTGGGATTAAGGCACCCACCACCATGTTCAGCTAATTATTAATTTTTTTAAATTTTTTATTAGAGACGGGGTTTCGCCATGTTGGCCAGGCTGGTCTTGAACTCCTGACCTCAGGTGACCCACCTGCCTTGGCCTCCCAACGTGATGGGATTACAGGTGTGAGCCACCGCGCCAGGCCCATTATGCTTTTTTCTTTTTTCAACTTTTTACATCAAAAAAATTCTTTTTCTCCCCTCTTAAGAAAAAAGTTGATCTTTTTCTTAAATCCTCTCAAACACGATCATAAAGCAGGGCAAAAAACGGATGTTGGGGTTGACTGGAAAAAGGACTAATGTTTCCACGGACTCACAGCTCTGCAGCATCTCTGTCAATGTTTCCACAGATGCTTTCTCGGCACTCTCAAAGCCGGCCTCTGTCAGCAAGGAGCTCACAACCACTTGCAGAGTTCTCCTCCGGGCCAGATGATAGTTATCGGCAGGGTTAGTGGACTGTTTACTTCCCGATCTCTGTGAATCAGCAGCCCAGAGAGGTTTTCATCCAGGAGAAAGATGCAATCACAGAATTCACACATGGTCAATGGCAAGCAAAAGTTCTTTTACTAAACACTTTTAAAAATCGGTGCTTAACGTTTAAATTTACAGATCTTGGCCAACAGAGTAATAACTGAGCACCCAAGGTGCTTTAAATACAGAGACTACTTTTCTGCCTACTTAAAACATACGGTCCCAATAAGATAAAATAGCAGGTCTTTTATCTTCTACTTTAGCAGATTATTAGAATATGTAGCTGAAGAAACACGAATGATGGGATTGTATAGATCTGTTCCCCAGAAAAAAACAGGATCCCTCTCTTGTGCCCCCCATCTTCACACCATTTCATTGAAAGGAAAAATGAAAACATAGTAAGAGGTGAAGGCGAGGAGAGGAGGGCAAAAGATAACAGCACGAAAAAGTAAGAAAGCTAAATATTTTGAAAAGGGAATCCCTTTCAACTTCCGCCGGCCAATAAGAGAGCGAATATGGCATCTTCAGACCAATCAGGCGGTATTGCGGGTTCCCAACCCCCAACAGCAAACGAGCCAATCAAGACACAGGTCCGCCAACTCCGGAGGCCGCAGCCAAGTCCCAGGGAGGGGGGTGCGTAAGGTCTGAAAGACCCTCCGGCAATAGGACCTCATAGTGGGGCTGAATTTCTGGGGATTCGCTTGTGGCTCAGTCTAGGGGAGAGCTTCAGAATACCCAAACTCTCTCGGCTCCGGCCTGCGCCTCCTGCCCTTACCGTTCCGGAGCCGCCAGCCCCAGCTGTGGCCGCCGCGTCGGCCATCTTGCTCTGGCGTAGTGTGCGCGAGCGCAGGGCGCGATGGGACTTGTAGTCGCGGGGCGGGGCAGGGTGGCGTGCGCCCCTCTAGGTTTTCCGAAGCTCAGTGGGTTACTGGACGCCGCCGGTGACCCCGGCTCACGTGACTTTTTTTTTTTTTTTTTTGGCGGGGGGTAGGGTGGGGAGACAGATTCTGTCTCCCAGGCTGGGGAGTGCAGTGGCGCGATCTTGGCCCACTGCAACCTCCACCTCACAGGCTCAAGCAATCCTCGCGCCTCAGCCTCCCGAGTAGCTGGGATTACAGGCGGGGACCTCCATGCCCAGCTAATTTTTGTATTTTTAGTAGAGACCGGGTTTCTCCATGTTGGCCAGGCTTGTCTAAAATTCCTGGGCTCAAGCAATTCGCGGCCTGGCCTCCCAAAGTCCTGGGATTACAGGCGTGAGCCACCAAGCCCACCTCACGGGACCTTTTGAGAGCGAAGTGTTCTGGGGCCTTCGTGGCTTGGTTGTGGACAGTGAAAACGCGCTATTTCACTGAGTTAAAAGAAATCTATTTTAAAATGAAAATCATTTCTTAAAAAGAGTGCACTCCTGGAAGGACCCAGGAGGTCATCTACACGCGCAGGGTTTTATAAACTTGTCTGATTATTAGCAACACCTGGCTGCGCCCAGCCAGATCCCAGTGACTTCACTCTCTGGAAGAGAGACTTAGGATCGTTCTTATTAAGGAGCTCCCCAGGTGTTTCTCCTGAGTGGTTAATGTTGGGAAACCCTGGAGCAGGCGTCCCCAAACTTTTTACACAGGGGCCAGTTCACTGTCCCTCAGACCGTTGGAGGGCCGCCACATACTGTGCTCCTCTCACTGACCACCAATGAAAGAGGTGCCCCTTCCTGAAGTGCGGCGGGGGGCCGGCCCGTAGTTTGCGGACGCCTGCGGCCTGGAGCATCCAGCCTGGTCATTTTGTGCTGAGGGCCGCCCAGCCTGTCAATGGCCCACTTAGAAGTAGAGCCCGGACCACCTAGTCCAAGTCTATCGCTGCATCCTGCTGCCTTCGCGCCCTCGACCCGCAAGTATTTGCAGCGCGAGCCTGTGGCGGGTCGTGGAGGGGTTGTCCCTTGCCGCCTCACTCCCAGGGCATGGGGTGCCCACGGCTGCCCTCGCTTGTCAGCCCCTCTGGCTGCGCCGTATTCGTCCCCATTTGCAGGTACCTGGAAGGACGCAGACGGTGGGCTTAGATCCTAACTAGGCAGCCATGGGACTTCGGGCACTTGACCTTATCCTCAGTGTGCCTCAGTTTCCTCTTCTGTAAAACCGGGGTAAATATGAGATGATACACAGAAAGGGTATGTTACAGTGCCTGACGTGTAGTAACAGTCAAGAAATCAGCCGGGCGCAGTGGCTCACGCCTCTAATCCCAGCACTCTGGTAAGGCCCAAGTGGGTGGATCACCTGAGGTCAGGAGTTCGAGACCAGCTAGCCTGGCCAACATGATGATGAAGCAGGAGCGGCCTCGAAAACAGACTTCTCCTCCGCCGAGAGTAAGGCGACATGTTTGTCTAACAGCCAAGCTCACCTAAAAAAGAGAAGCTTTGCCTTTATATAGGCTTACAACTCTAGATATTACACGTGAAAGGGTCTTGGGTTTACAGTTTTAGAAATTACATGTGAAAAGGTCTTGGTGGATAGAGGAGGAGTCGGGTGGGGGTTTGATCTTGTTTAAGTAAAAACCGTGTCTTCGGAGAGATTCCCCCATACTATGCCTGCTATTTGTATGTAGGAAGGTGATTTAGGTGGCACCAGTCGGCCAGCCTTTTCTTCTATTGAAATGCAGCGTGGAAGTCAAGGAGGAGGTGATCTTAGATGCTTGGGTCTCTTTCCTCAGTGAAACGCTGAAACCCGTCTCTACTAAAAATACAAAAAATTAACCAGGCGTGGTGCTGGGCACCTGTAGTCCCAGCTACTGGGGAGGCTGAGGCAGGAGAATGGCTTTAGTCCGGGAGGCGGAGGTTGCAGTGAGCAAGATCGTGCCACTGCACGATCCCACTGGGCGACAGAGGGATACTCCGTCTCAAAAAAAAAAAGGAAGAGAGAAAGAAAGAGAGGCCGGGCGCCATGGCTCACGCCTGTAATGCCAGCATTTTGAGAGGCCGAGGCGGGCGGGCGGATCACAAGGTCAGGAGTTCGAGACCAGCCTGGCCAACACGGTGAAACCTTGTCTACTAAAAATATAAAAATTAGCCGGGCGCGGTGGCTCAAGTCTGTAATCCCAGCACTTTGGGAGGCCGAGGCGGGTGGATCACGAGGTTCAGAGATCAAGACCATCCTGGTCATCATGGTGAAACCCCGTCTCTACTAAAAATACAAAAGCTGAGGCAGGAGAATTGCTTGAACCCAGGAGGCGGAGGTTGCGGTGAGCCGAGATCGCGCCATTGCACTTCAGCCTGGGTAACAAGAGCGAAACTCCGTCTCAAAAAAAAAAAAAAAAAAAAAAAAAAAAAAAAAAATTAGCCGGGCGTGGTGGTGGGCATCTGTAGTCCCAGCTACTCGGGAGGCTGAGGCAGGAGATTCGCTTGAACCGGGAGGCAGAGGTTGCAATGAACTGAGATCGCGCCACTGCACTCCAGCCTGGGCAACAGAGCGAGACTCCTTCTCAAAAAAAAAAGAGAGAAGGAAAGAGAAAGAAAAGAAAAGAAAGAAAAGAAAAGAAAGAAAGAAAGAAAGAAGAAAAAGAAAGAAATTGTGCCTCAGAATGTTGTTTACTTCCTGGTCAGCACAAGGAGTCCCGAACGCTGGGAGGCAGCCGTCTGGGAACCCGCGCTGAGCCGGTCCCACCACCCACACCTGAGCCTCCGTGGCGCCCCGCCCCCTTACCTAGGCCGCGTGGGGCGGGGGCTGCGGGCCGGGGTGCGCGGCGCCGGATGAGCCTCCTGGCGGCGGCGGGTGGAGCGGGCCGGGCACTGAACCTTGGCTGAGCTGAGCACCAGCCCCTTTGTGTCCTCCGCTCCCCACTTCCTGCCCAGCTCGGGATCGGCGGCAAGGCGCGGACTTCGCGATAACCCGTCGCCCCTGCGGGAGTGGAGACAGGCTCTGTTCGGACGCCTGTGGGAGAGATGCAATCCCCTCCTCGCGGAGGGTGGTTGTGACAACCCCACTCCCCAAAGGCAGGCGTCAGAGGCGGCGGGAGAGAGCGTCTGCGGCCCCTATCGGTGCTCCGGAGAGCTCACCTGCCAAGAAGGTAGGCTTGGGGGCTGGAGAAACCGGGGTAGATGGGATGACAGCTCAGGCTGGAGACCACGCGTTGGGGATCGGAGCTGGCTGGGTTATGGGTTCGCCGCGTCCTCATCCCTGCCCAGTTGACACCCAAAGTTTGGCTCACTTTCCCATGGAGTGAGGTGTTCTGCACGGAGTTGGAAGGCAGGGAAACCCCCAAAGGCCGCACAGCCCCCTCCAGCTGATCTGGATGCCCCGTGGTTTTACCCAGCTGTTGCTCTTCTCATACCTCAAAGATAGGGTGGGACGCCAGGAGGAGGGCAGACCAATGTGAAAGGGGGAGTCTGTGGGTGCTCTGGCCGGTGCACCGGGATGAGACCGGAGGGAAGGACCCCTCAGTGGTGTCTGATTGGTACATAGGTGATGGTCTTAGCCGCCTCTGCTTCTTGAAGTGTCAACAACTGGAATAACTGAAGAAACTGGTTGCTGTGACTAAGGGAGCCTTAAGCTACTAATTTGCGTTGATTGAACACCTACTATGTGCCTGGCATTATATGGGATGCTGCGGATACAATGAGATTATTGATCCACAGCTAATGTGAATCACAGAACAACAGACATACGGTGCGATGTGCACTGACTGGGGTGATTCGGGAGGCTTTAGAGAGAAAAGGACATTTGAGTTGGATTCAGAAGGATGAAACGCATGGAAGTCTTTGGGGGCACTTATTCCACAGAGCTGGACTGAACCCGAGCTGTGGTTTTGGACATTTGGATAAAGTGGCAACCCAGAAACAATTCCTGCTCTCCTTAATCCACTGTCTTAGCACGAAGGGAATGAACAGGATGAATTCTAGAAAAGACAGTTTTCTGGGCTAGGTCCCAAGAACCCAGGAATTCCCTTCTGGGTGCAGCTGGGAGGGGGTCTGCCTGGGGGTGACGTGACAGTCCACACAATCCTGGGTACGTCCTCCCCATCCCTAGACTCTGAGACTATTTCCTCTGACAATTGCCCTCTGCCCACCACCTCATTTCTCTTTGGGACCAGACATGGTTGGAGAAGTGGATCTCCCATTCCTTCCTCACAGATTCTTCCGTCCGTTCAATTCCGGGGCTCCTTTGGGAAATGACTGACACACCAACTTGTGAATTCATTCAGCACCTATTTGCTGTGGCCATGCTCTGTCTGCACAGGCTATTCCCACAGCTGTTGGGGATGTCATGGTAAACAAATCAGAGTTGCTTCCCCCGGAACTTAAAACAGAAAGCGTCTGGATAATTCCAGCAGAATCCTAGTCTATGCCGGTCGTAGTCTATGCCCTGCCGACTCACTCTCAGGGTGTGGGGTGCCCGTGGCTGCCAGTGGTTTTCTCCCTCGATTGTCAACCACTCTGGCTGCACCATATTCGTCCCCATTTAAGGTACCTGTCAGGACTCAGATGCTGGGCTTGGATCCTAATACTAGGCAGCTGTGGGACTTTGGGCACTTGACCTAATCCTCAGTGTGCCTCAGTTTCCTCTTCTGTAAAACTGGGGGAAAGATGAGATGATACACAGAAAGGGCATGTTACAGTGCCTGACGTGTAGTAAGAGTCAAGAAATCGGCTGGGCGCAGTGGCTCGTGCCTCTAATCCCAGCACTCTGGGAAGCCAAGGTGGGTGGATCACCTGAGGTCAGGAGTTCAAGACCAGCCTGGCCAAAGCCTGGCCAACATGGTAAAACCCCGTCTCTACTAAAATATATATATATATATATATATATATATATATATATATATATATATGGCTGGGCATGGTGGCAGGCACCTGTAATCCCAG